AAGGCAGTAATGAAATCAAATGTGCATGCCAAATGCCTTTGACTTGCAAGATTGCAGGAGCAGATTTCGTCCCATAATGCATTGCTTTGCAGGGGCAACCTGCCCCAGGCAGTGGGTGATTATTAATGACTACTAGTTGAATTATTGACATGCTACTTGAGGTTTTACGGTGTAAGACATATCTTGCCTTTTGTCTGTTTATATGCTCGTATATGCATGAATAAAAGGGATACTTTGTTGTTTACGTGATATGAGAAGGGTTGGCGTGCAGATGGAGGAGGCACTCACAATGGTACTTTAGAACACACACACTGACGCAACCCTACAGTCGAAACAATTGCGATTGTGCCCCTTTCGATCCAATGATGTCATCATTCCGCTCTCAAATGCTCTGTTCCAAAACTAGTGTGCTGCCTACGGAGATAGTATGTTAAGGCATCATGAACCCGTTCCCAATGCAAAGACAGTCAAAGTGCAGGCAAGCTAATAATGTTATTTTCTTTTGGCTAAATACTAAAGCAGCACCACACATATCTTTCACAGAAAAATGTATTCAATAATGCATTGCAACAAGCTCAGTGAAATAAATCCAAGATGGCAGATGAAGTGAGAGAAATGTCGATTATGAAATAAATATACCCTACCATTCAAAGGTTTGGGCTCAGCAAGATTTTTAAAATTTTCTTGATGGAACTTGTTTATTCTCACCAAGCTTTCATTTATTTGATCAAAAATAGAGTTAAAACCGTGATATTGTGAAATATTATTATAATTTAAAATAACTTTTTTCTGTGTCAATATATTTTAAAGTGTAATTTATTCCTGTGATGGCAAAGCTGAATTTTCAGCAGCAATTACTCCAGTTTTCAGTGTAACGTGATCCTTCAGAAATCATTCTAATATGATGATTTGGTGCTCAAATTTTTTTTTTTTTATTATTATCAATGTTGAAAACAGTTTGGCTGCTGTATTTTTTTTTTTGTGGAAGCAGTGATACATTTTTTGCAAGATTCTTTAATAAATCAAAAGTTCACGAACAGCATTTATTTGAAATAGAAATTCATAACATTATAACACCTTTGCTGTGACTTTTGATCAATTTAATGCAAGAAAAAAAAGCAATTTAATGCAATAAAAAAATCTTGACCCCAAACTTTTGAATAGTAATGTAAATTTAATTCCATTTTGAAAAGTACTGATAAAAATTGTGTGATTAAAAATGATTTACAATAGCTCTGTTCCAAAAACCTAGTGCACATTATGCTGCCTACTAAGTGAGCAATGTAACCGTTCTCATGCCACACAAATGGTGCTTTTCATTGAAGACTCAACACAACTGATTCAGTAGAGTTTTATATTAGCATATTGCTAAGCGGTGTGATACGCTAATAAGCATAAAAGCACATAGTACTCACAAATATTGGGTAGAATAATACATTTTTATTTACAAAAAACGATTTTTAGCTTTTTATTTTGAGCAAATATTTCCATTCAGCATTTCAGAGCTTGTTCATTGCGCTCTGGAAACGCAATTTATCTGGAAATACTAGCTGTGTTAAAATTTCTCCAAAATACGGTATCTTCTTCCTGCAAAGCTAGCATTTTTCAGGTTTTGGAACAGATCGATAGACTCCTCATCGGGGAATCTCATCAGACAAACTGATAATGATCGTCTTCTTCACCACAAAGCGAAAGCCACGTTTCCCAGCATTAGAGACGGATCGTAAAAACATTCACGCCGAGCCACCGCTCTACGAGGGGGTTGGATTGGATTGTGTGTTTGGCTGTTCAACCATGTCCGTCCTACTTCATTTTCAGTTTCACTTTTTTGGAAACTCTCACTGAATTTTGGTTTTAATCTAATCAGTATCTTTGTCAGAGAAACACTGAACAAATATGGTTTTAGGCAGTCGTCCAGGCATAAGTGGTACACCTCGTTCTGATTCTAATACGGAATGCTGTTACTGTTGGCACATACTTCCAAAGTTCTTTTTCCTTTTGGTCTAATGCAGATCCCAGCACATGGTCATCTGGTCAAAGCCAGTGGTGTACTTTTATCCTTGAATGAATAAGGCTGTTATTTTTGTGTGGAATTGACCATGTCATCACCAGTGGAAATTTGGAGCAGTGCCCTCTATAAAGAAACAAAAGGTAGATCCCTTGGGTCCTTTATTGAAAAGAAACTACACATACTCACACTGATGTCAAACTGCTGTAGGGAGGCAAACAGAAATAGCACAGTGAATACAAAGACGTGGGTATCGAAATGATGATATACTGCAAACTAACACTACAATATATAAACATTGTGTTGATACCATATTTGCTAAATTAAGATTTTTAAATTTAGATTGATTGATACCAGATGTGTATCTTTTGATATTTTATATTTAATTGTACATTTCCCCTATTTTTACATTTTGATGTAAACACTGTTGAATGTGATTTTTATTAATTTTTTTTCATACTGTATATTCAGTTACTTGTAGCATTTAGTTTTTAAATTAAGTTTAGTTTAGAGATTTTTTTTGTTTTTTTATTTAACGGTTAACCTAAGAATTTATGAGGGTAAAGATTAAGGGCCAGATTTACTAACAGCTTGCGCCAGCGCAAACCGTCTTTTGGCTTTAAAATAGTACTGTCAAGATTTACTAAAGACACGCAGTGAAGAATTAGTGCTGAAAAGGCTTGGACAGTTATTTTTGAGCCTGACCTTATTGAATATGCATTTGTAGGCATTTCCCTTTCAGACGCTAAATTTATTAGAGGAGAATATTAAAATGAATCACGCAACGCGATTTACTTACTATTTTGCACCTGTGTCATTAGTAGATCACCTGCACCTGATGAGCATCGGCTCTGCTTATTTGCGACTACGCTAATTTGCGCTGCACTTTTTTATATTGCGTTGGTCGAGATGTAAAAGTCTCTATTTCTAAAAGAAAAAATAATAATTAAAATATTGTAAAAACACTTAAGAATAAAATCTCTATAAAATATAATTAATTTAAATTACATATAGGATTTTTATTTATACATTTATTATAAAATTGTATATATTTAATTTTGTCCCCCAGTAAAGTGAACAGACACACATATCTCACTGTGTCTACTTTAAAACTTATTCGGTTTTGGTGGGTTGAAACGGGATCCAAGAAGTTAATATGCTTTGTTTTGTTTATTCTTATCTCTATTAACAGCACCCAATTTTTTAAATATAGTTTTACAGGTGAGCTAAAGAATCTGTGTCCACAGTATTATAAAATAAACAGATCTTTTTTTGTCTGTAGCAGATCACTAGTGAACCATCTAAAGGAAATGGCTTTTGCTCCATTTTGTCATTAGTTATAACCTACTCCATTTTCCAGAGTATTTCCGTCTCTCATTTTCTCTCTCCCCTCATATCCCTATTGAATTCTTTGCCTGTAGGAGTGTCATAGTGGCAGCAGTATCAGTTGTAATTGAAATCACTTGCGGATCATCTGTCACTATGGTGTTATTATGATTGATCAGGTTTTATGAAGAAATGTGGAGGGTGCTGCCATACAACCAGATGTTTGTCAGGGAGTGTCCTTGATACATTAGTTCCCCTTGAGACCTCATGCACTTGCTTTTCTTTGAAAATAAAAACACTGTTATTACATTTCACCTCCAAGAATAAAGGGGGTGCTGAGTTTTTCTTAGAATACTGATACTTTGTTTGATTCTCATTCTGATTGTAAACTGAAGACAGTTTTGTCATTGACATGGCTCAGAAAGAAATTATGTTTCTTGAGAGCAAGAGAAAAAAAGAGTTGTGTGTGTTCGTGTTTTTTTCCTCCCGTTTTTCATTCATTCCAGATGTGTGCCATCTCTCTCACACTTCCTTTTTCTTATCTTTGTCTTTTCCCCCTCCCACATCCCATCTCCATCTGTACATACACACATGCTGTATTATTGTAGGTGTGTGTTGGTGTTAACATGTCAGAGAGCATTGACGGCCAATGTATTAGACTGAACAATTGTACAAGAGGGGGAAATAAAACGTTCGAGCTTGTTGGGTCTTCGATCACGTAGATCAGTCTCATATTTTCTCTGACACAGCCTCCCCTTGTCTTACTTGTTTTCCCATTCTGTCAATGTGTCTGTTCTGAAGCTCTCTCCCCCTTGTTTTCCCCTATAAAAGAGTCTAAAGCAGTACAAATATGTGTTTTGGTATCACAGACTTTTTATTTTTTATTTTTTTTTACTCAGGCCAGTGGTTTATGAGGCTGTAAATGTTTGAGATTGTCATGTGAGGATAACTCCACTTTTTATGTGTATCTATCTGGTCTACCGTACTATCATGTAACCACCAGACGGTAAAACAAATTATATGTTATATGTGTTGTGTGTTGTGTTGTGTTGTGTTGTGTTGTTAGACGAGTCAACATTTGAAGTGGATCAAAACCTTTCATCAAAGTTGTCCTAAAGCCTAAAAGCAAAATGCATTCTTGTCTTAGGACAACTTTGATTAACTTTTTTGATCCACTTCAAATGTTGACTATTTATTATATTATATTATATTATATTATTTTTTATAATAAATATTTATTTTATATTATTTTAGTTGATCACTTTTCTTGTCCGTCATAATGTCATGACAGTCTCTGGTTCTGGGCAGTCTGTGAATGTCTCTTAACAGTTTTAGGACTGCTTTCACTCTTTAAAAATCATTTTTTTTTACATGTTCCCATCTTTATTAAATATTAATTTGAAACTTAAGGGAACCATGAGCTGGTAAATGTCTCCTGTCAGTGGTTCTGCAGTAAGCAGTCTAAATAATTTAACATCTGCAGATGGAAAACCTTTTGTGTGTGTGTGTGTGTGTGTGCGCGCACCTGTGGGGTAATGAATTAAACTGCTGCACTAGCTGATGGCAAGATGCCCAGGTGATGCCATATAGTGATCGTATACTCATCGCTCAGACAGGTGATGATGTTTATAACAAATACATTTCCTCTTTGTTTTTCTTTCTACAGTTGAGGTACCAGCATGGGCTCTCCACCCCAGATCTGCGTCAGACTTTACCCAACCTGAAAAACTTCCTAGAGCATGGGCTACTTGTACGATGGTGAGTTTTAACATTATTATTGATGTTTGCTAAGGTATGGACATGAGTGATACCTCAAATTGACCTATCGGTAAGCCCCTCCCCTCAACGCAGATGAGCCAATGGCAGTCGAGTATCAGTTGCACGGGGAGCGGTACTCGGACATCTTTAGGTTTCAGTGCCATAGAGAAACATTGGAAGATCCGAAGCTCGCATCGGTTTAATGGTGTTTATGCTACAAAAATTGAAAAACGATGTGCCTAGGGTACTTGTAACACTAATTCCAGTTATCCTGAGAGGATAGGCAATGCAATTTATTTTATTCCATTTCCTAAATCCAACCAAAACAGAGCAAAATATCCCTAAGCATTCAACCCCAATCACAATGAAGACGAAAATGTTTATTTTCTGGTTGTCATACTCTCATTAAGTTAAACTTTTCATCTGCTCTAGCAGAACGTTAATGTCATCTTGTGCTTCAGCGAGGTATCTCTGGCTAAAACTAGCTAACATTAGCATTAAAGTTAGTGAGTCCATGCTAACATACAAACCTAAATAGTTCTGTATAGTAAAACTGTTCTCACGTCATGTACCGTACAGTGAAAGTCAAAAACACATAAACGAAGGTCTATATTAGAGTGCCTCTCCATATTAATCTGGTTAAATGTAAATTAATTTAATCTTACTCTATGGTATTTGAACGGTGTTGATCCGGGATGTTGTCATTGCGATCGTGACGACCGTAACATAATTCTCCTGTTTGCATTGTGATCTGTATTTTTACATTTATTTTAATATCTTTTATATATCCCTCCATGGCATATTTAAGTCCCACTTGAAGGCCCGTCTACATCCCAAATTTATCAGAAACACCTCGGAAGAAGGTTTTCACTGGCAGCTGTCATTGTAAGACAGTAAGCAGCTCCATTTGTTTGTCCGAGTGACAGTAACTAAATGTTGTGACTGGACGACTTCAATAACTTTTGTCCAATTTCAAATCTCCAGTTTTTGGCAAAATTACGTGAGCGTATTGTTGCCTCACATTTGTGTAAACATCTCACAGTTAATAATCTTTTTGAACCTCTTCACTCGGGTTTTCGTAAATTTCACAGTACTGAGAAGGCCTTAGTCAAAGTCACAAATGATTTGTTGATGGCTTCTGACTCTGGTGCAACATCTATTCTTATTCTTCTTGATCAAAGAGCCGTGTTTGATACTGTGGATCACAGTCTATTACTTACCTGTCTTGAAAGAGTTTTTGGTGTGTCTGGGACTGCCTTAAGGTGGTTAAAGTCTCCCAGTTTGTTTCTATGGGTTGTTATAGGTCCGAGATTAGCTGTCTCAACTGGTGTCCCTCAGGGGTCTGTTTTAGGTCCTTTACTTTTTAACATTTATATACACATAACGATACGCAGATTTTTATACATTCAAAACCTCATGAGCGTCTTGACGTTGCTTATTTGTCTGACTGTATTACTGAGATTAAAATGTGGATGGATAATAATTTCTTGTGTTTGAACCGTGGTAAAACTGAAGATATGCTCATTGGTTCCCGTTATCAAATTTCTAAAGCTGGTTGTCTGTCCCTGACTCTTGACGGTTCTGTTTTGGAAATCCAGAATTTGATGCAAATCTTTGGAGTTATTTTTGATGCAAATCTGTCTTTTGATTCTTTTGTCCAGAGCACTGTTAAAACCTATTTTTTCCACCTCAGAAATATTGCAGGATTGCGCCCTATGTTAAATTTTACAGTCGCGAAAATCCTGATAAATTCCTTTGTCGTCTCACGGTTAGACTATTGTAATGCTCTTTTAGCCGGAGCTTCTAAATCTACACTTAATAAGTTGCAATATGTACAAAACTCAGCTGCCAGGATTTTAACTGGGACTAGGATTGGCAATCATATTACTCCAGTGTTAGAATCTTTGCACTGGCTCCCGGTCAGGTTTAGAGTGGATTTCAAAATTATGATGCTTACTTTTAAAGCATTACATGATCTTGCACCACATTACCTTATAGAATTGTTACACTCCTAGTCGTAGATTGCGTTCCTCTCAGTCAAACACATCTAAGATCTATGGGTGATAAGGCTTTCTCTTTCTATGCTCCTGTCCTTTGGAATTCTCTGCCTCTTGAACTTAGGGAAGTTCAGAATTATGGTTATCAAATTTCTAAAGCTGGTTGTCTGTCCCTGACTCTTGACGGTTCTGTTTTGGAAATCCAGAATCGAGCGAGGAACCTTGGAGTTATTTTTGATGCAAATCTGTCTTTTGATTCTTTTGTCCAGAGCACTGTTAAAACCTCTTTTTTCCACCTCAGAAATATTGCAGGATTGCGCCCTATGTTAAATTTTACAGTCGCGAAAATCCTGATAAATTCCTTTGTCGTCTCACGGTTAGACTATTGTAATGCTCTTTTAGCCGGAGCTTCTAAATCTACACTTAATAAGTTGCAATATGTACAAAACTCAGCTGCCAGGATTTTAACTGGGACTAGGATTGGCAATCATATTACTCCAGTGTTAGAATCTTTGCACTGGCTCCCGGTCAGGTTTAGAGTGGATTTCAAAATTATGATGCTTACTTTTAAAGCATTACATGATCTTGCACCACATTACCTTATAGAATTGTTACACTCCTAGTCGTAGATTGCGTTCCTCTCAGTCAAACACATCTAAGATCTATGGGTGATAAGGCTTTCTCTTTCTATGCTCCTGTCCTTTGGAATTCCTGCCTCTTGAACTTAGGGAAGTTCAGAATTATGATGTTTTTAAAGTTCAACTCAAGACATTTTTTTGAACTTGCATTTGCTTGTTGATTTTGTATTTTTTTTATTGTATTTATTATATTGTGTTCAGTGCTTTGAGAAGCTGCTTTTAAAGGCACTTTATAAAATAAAGTTTATTATTATTATTATTATTATTAAGGGGGGCGGGGCTTTCTGATAGGTCAGTTGTGATAAGACTTATTGTTTTATGTGGTGGATGACAAAACGGGGAAAAAAAATCTCATAAACTTACACTGAAATAGGGACCCGAGCCATATCTAGAAACCAGAATGAATAAAGGATGTATTTTTTGTTTTCTTTTCTTTTATACAGAATTCTTGGTTTAATTTATATTCATTTTCACAGTTCCTTTTCATATTTTAAGATTCTTTTTCCTCATAAAATGTACAGATATTACAATGTCTGTATGCATTGTCATATTTACTTTTTATAATTATATTTATAGAGACTAACAGATTTATAAACAATCGCTTTCTAAATCTAGTGTCTGTTGATGTGCACTATGATAAAGCACTGTAGGAATCTAGCCAACTTTTGAAAGCAACAAAATGAGCATTTTCACATCAAGTGATGGTTAAAATTCCCAGTTGTATCCCATGGCACTCAAAAACATAGTTAAAGAAAGCCAACTTTTGATCTCTCCAGCTCTTTCTTGGTTCAGCGATAGGCAAACCATCTATCTGAATGTTAATTTAATAATATGTGTTTTGAAAGGAAGGAGGCCAGGGTAAGTAAAACTCTTCAGTGTCCCCCCAGTAATGTTTAATGGATTGTGGAAATGCTTAAGATGGAACAGATGAAAGTGTGACCTTTTGACCTCTTGAACCGTACAGAGTGGCAGGAAGTAGAGGAGGAAGTGGAAGTCCGGCAAACCGGCGGTTGCTCTGCATGGCTAAACGGACCCGGAGGGCGGTCGTGTTGACTCGACGGTACTCTTAGAACCGTGAAAGAGCAGTTTCCACCTCCCCCGGGGAGAGAGGAACCATATACACAAACACAAAACTGCAGAACATTCCTTTCGACATATTCCTCATACAGCCCCACAGCTGTAAACGATAACTTACAGCATGCTGAGACCCTCCTAGAGTCAAGTTACGTTATAAAGTGTGGGAGTCTGCTAGCGTTGACTCAAACAGGAGGTCTAGACTCGTTCTCCAGTGCAGGAAGCAACTCTCTGGATCCAGAGCTGAAATGTGAAATATAGAGTAATTTTCTATTTTCCATTTGTTGCAGACTGCTTTTATTACTCTTGCATTCACTTCCTCTCCTACACTCCCTCCCCTCTCAGTTTAGATAATATTTCCAGGGCAGGGGCCAGTGATGTGAATTATCGGCGCATAAAAATCTGCATCAGGGCAGCTGCAGGAGTTCCTTAGAGGGGAAAAGAAGGGGACGGGAATGCCAGAGAAAGCACATGAAGAAGTGGGAACACTGGACAGGTGTACCATGGGAACCTGTGCTTTCATTGTGCAGATTCAGAGGAGGACATGTTGAGAAAATATAGAGATTCATTTTGCCCTTCTTCTTTTATCCCAACGGACGTTTATATAGGAAAGGGAGATGGCAGAGTTTTTGAGACTGGCTTAATGAAATGGTTTGATCTGTTCAAATTTGCTTTAAGAGTTGACAGGGTCTGAACACACACAGTTTCGCCATCTGCTTTGGGTGTTCAGGAGTTTTGCATGTCTTACAACCAAATTTCTGAACAGGGGTTATTAATGTTTGATCATTTAGCAGAACCGTTGGCTCAGACTGCTGGACTCAGCATGTGTTTCAGCTCGATTTACTGACTGGACGATAAAGTAAAGAACCTTTTTCATGGGAAAACTACCTGGTTCCAGGTTTTTTAGAATTGTTTCAGGAATACACAAATTGAGTCGCCATAGTCATAGCCAATAATGATGTAATGGAAATTATCACAGAGACGACCAACCATTTTTGGCATATTTATTTTAATTGTAAGTAAATTGGGTTTACTACCTGGTTCCAGGTTTTTTAGAATTGTTTCAGGAATACACAAATTGAGTCGCCATAGTCATAGCCAATAATGATGTAATGGAAATTATCACAGAGATGACCAACCATTTTTGGCATATTTATTTTAATTGTAAGTAAATTGGGTTGTGAGAGAAAAAAAACAAGGTTCAAATGGTCTGTCTGGTTGTCAGTCATTTAGCCTACTGGCCCTTTAAGTCTAGTGCAGGGGTAGGCAAGTTCGGTCCTAGAGAGCCGCA